TGTACCGATTCAATACACAGTTAAATATGCTGGCTTGATATAGATACCCGTGTCGTGTAGGGGTCTATCTTAAACGATTACCTAAGGGTAATCATTGGATTTTTCCTTGCCAACGAAAAAAGGTTTCAGCCACACGCGAAAAACTTAAATCCGCCCGTGAACGCGAAAGGCCTTCGGGCTATCGAAACGATAAAAATGGCTGTCTTGTGGTTAGGGCAAATTCAAAATATAATTGTTCGGTACCATACTCTTAGCGCAATTCAAACATCTCGACGGCAGTGTTTCAAACTAAACAGATCCGTTGCGACTTAGAACATAATTGAATGTTATAGGGTCTTTCCTTACAATTAAAAATTACTATTGACTCTTTACATTAAAAATATTCAGATTTTATTTTTCATAAAATAATTTTTTGCCACTATTTTTTTAGTAAAGTACAGTTTGACGTCATTTTTCATAATTTTTCCATATTTAATTTTTCTATATGTAATTTTTTATTAAAGTACAGTTTTAGTAAAGTATAGTTTTGACTTAATTTTCACATAAATAATTTTTAATAAATAATTCTTTTGTTTTTTATTAAAGTTCAGTTTGACGTCATCTTGCATCTGAAAGTGCTGCCCCGAATTCTCCGGTTCAGGCGCAAGAGTAAATCTTTTTTAAATATAAGACTAAATTTTTCTATATTTAATATTTCGTAATTTTTCTACTTTTTAGTAAAGTACAGTATGACATTTAATTTTTAATAATTTTTCTACATACAGTACGTAAAGTACAGTTTTGGCGTAATTTCTACATAAAATAATTTTTCATAAAATAATTAGTAATTTGCGACTTGAAACAATTAAAAAAAAATACAAAAACTTACCAGTTTGGCTAAGGGAAAGCGGCAAACGGGTCCAGAGGGCGGCTGCAGAGGCAGGTAATGGGGTGGGGGCGGTTCTTTGATAGCCATAGGGGGGCCTCACAATAATTAGTTGGAAGCCCCCGGCAACTCAATTCCACAAAAATATGTTCGCACGTATGCGCACAAACGAAAGCGTTATCTATACATACCCCTTGAAGGCGACAACCCTTATCTTATTAGGACTGGTATTACAGACGCCAAGGGTTGTACTCTCCCGCATGAAAGCGGTACCTGTCACGCTAACGTGAGGAAGAAAGTCGACCACCAGCCCAAATTCCCATATTCTTAACTTCGCAAGCACCACCTCCGTACACCTCAACAGATTAACGAAGAATGAACAAGTAACCGACATGTCTCAACTAGTAATTTACTACGCGTATAAGGTGTAGTCATGTTTTACGTCACGTTATCACGTTTTAAGTCATGCTGTTATCACAATTGAAATAATTATCAGTTTTAAAAGGTGTTGAAACTTCTTCAATAAAGGTGAGTTTTTTAAAATATGACTTGTCGCATATCAAAAAAAAACTACGCATGCAAGGTCTTCTCCACCAGAGATAACGAGGAGAAGGTCGTGTGTAAAGTGAAGGGTATATCCCATAACAACACAGCCTCACGACTGGTAAATTTCGATACCATAAAAGATATGGTGTTGGACACTTCCGCCACCTCTGTATGCGTGGCCTCAAGAAACATCTTGAGGACCAAGGAGCAGGAGGTGATAACCGTTCGACAAACCAAGCTGTAGAAGCCTCTCCGTCAAGAGACGGCTCTTGAACGACCACACAACTTGTATGTAACGCTCTGTATTATAATTGTACTGAAAAACAAAAACCATATTTTACAGCGTTTTTATCTTTCCTCATCTTTTCAAACTTACAAAGGTTAGAAATAATAATACTCAATCATATGTTACAAGTTTTATTAAGGATATCTGTAGATACATTTCACCGTAATTTTTACATTTGCATTTTTTAAATAAATATTCTCTGAGGCTTCATTACTGCAAAACGCCGAAAACTGTTCACGTTCTTTCACATGGTATACAAGGGCTGTAGCATGTCCTTTTCTACGTTACGCTTCCAGCGTATAAATGTAGTTCAACGTCTTTGGATTTGAATGCTTGTTGAAGAGGTCAAAGTCCATTTTAGACAGCAAGGCAAACGATACGGGTTTTTCGTCTTCATAACGTATATAACATGAAGGCTGTTTATCCAAGTACCGTTGATTAATTAATACATCGTCACGAATATTTAACTTCCTTATTTCTCTCAAGGCTTTTGCTTTAAAGTAGAACGCAGTTTTCATTTTTACGATTTGTCTCTACCAAGAACAAGACAAAAATGAGACGCTTGCTCAAGGTATTGTTATTATGTAGGAGGGGGTAAGAAATTAAATTGCGCTCGTATTTTAATCTATTTCTAGCAGTTTATTATTATTAAAAAGGCTTATACTGTTGGGGTTATACTCTAAATCTGCCACGACGCGCGCTTTCGGGTGCTTCTTCTGTAACCTCTTCAAGGATTGCGGGAAACGCCTTCTCTGTGGTCTAATGATATAGTATGGATACTCGGATGATTGATTTTTCTGTATTATAGCAAACATGTGTCGTTTGTTCGGGTTAACGACCTTTGGACTTATATCTTCAACGTAATTTTCTAGCTTCTCGTTCCGTGTCCCCAAATATTGCAACTTGACCATCAGGGCTTCATTATCGTGTTGGTACTTAACGTAGCCAATATTTAAACTCTTTTCCAGCATCCTGGCATAGCTTTGTAGCGTTAAAGTAACCGGTGTCCTTGTCGATGATAATCTTAAAATCTCCATATAAACCGTACCAGTATTGATCTTGGATTTGCTCGAAGCAAACATCTCGTAGACTTGTCATTTTGAGATTATGTTAAAAGCACGTCTGAACACTTTGAATGTTAGATGAAGAATGATTACNAACTGTTCACGTTCTTTCACATGGTCTACAAGGGCTGTAGCATGTCCTTTTCTACGTTACGCTTCCAGCGTATAAATGTAGTTCAACGTCTTTGGATTTGAATGCTTGTTGAAGAGGTCAAAGTCCATTTTAGACAGCAAGGCAAACGATACGGGTTTTTCGTCTTCATAACGTATATAACATGAAGGCTGTTTATCCAAGTACCGTTGATTAATTAATACATCGTCACGAATATTTAACTTCCTTATTTCTCTCAAGGCTTTTGCTTTAAAGTAGAACGCAGTTTTCATTTTTACGATTTGTCTCTACCAAGAACAAGACAAAAATGAGACGCTTGCTCAAGGTATTGTTATTATGTAGGAGGGGGTAAGAAATTAAATTGCGCTCGTATTTTAATCTATTTCTAGCAGTTTATTATTATTAAAAAGGCTTATACTGTTGGGGTTATACTCTAAATCTGCCACGACGCGCGCTTTCGGGTGCTTCTTCTGTAACCTCTTCAAGGATTGCGGGAAACGCCTTCTCTGTGGTCTAATGATATAGTATGGATACTCGGATGATTGATTTTTCTGTATTATAGCAAACATGTGTCGTTTGTTCGGGTTAACGACCTTTGGACTTATATCTTCAACGTAATTTTCTAGCTTCTCGTTCCGTGTCCCCAAATCTTGCAACTTGACCATCAGGGCTTCATTATCGTGTTGGTACTTAACGTAGCCAATATTTAAACTCTTTTCCAGCATCCTGGCATAGCTTTGTAGCGTTAAAGTAACCGGTGTCCTTGTCGATGATAATCTTAAAATCTCCATATAAACCGTACCAGTATTGATCTTGGATTTGCTCGAAGCAAACATCTCGTAGACTTGTCATTTTGAGATTATGTTAAAAGCACGTCTGAACACTTTGATCTCAGGATTTTTAGTATATCCCACTTTGTATACATTTCTAACTCCATACTTCATACTTGTTGCTATGTAAACGTATCCGCCTTTCTCTTCTGTTCTCTGCAACCGCATCCATCAAATAACGCCTTCTAGCATTGCAGGATGCACATCACTTTCCGATGTATAATATCGCCTAAGTTCTAAACATTGAAAGAATACATATACATACAGGGTGTAACCAAAATGCTTGTCCAAACTTGAATAACAGATTCTATTTCACAAATCAGGTGCAAAGACGTAAAGTATTGCGTCATTCGACTGAGATCACGTGAGCAACCATTGAGATTGAGGTTCAGAATATGGACAAAAATAAAAAATATGTTTAATGCATGCGCAGAACATACTTGTAATTAGTACCTTAGTTTCTTCAAAATCGTAATGTTAACATAAATCATGATAAGGGAGGTCAATGAACTCCAAACAGCATTACGTCATTCTTAGGTCGTCTGGGATCAAGGTTCAGACCTGTTTTCTACTGGTTCAGACATGTTTTTTAGCATAAACTGTAACCTGATATTTTATTTCCTTTATAACTGTAGTGTTAGCAAAAATTCTAACCTAATATGCAGGCTTGCTAGTAAACCTAGCACGAGCCTCTATAGCTCAGTGGTAGAGCACTGGTCTTGTAAGGTTTTTCTTATACATGAAAGGTAGAATGAGAGGAAATAAAATAAACAAGGACAAGTAAACATATATTATGCATATTAAAATATAATAAATGTAACATTATAGTGTATTTGATACAATTCTTGTAGATGTAGGTCCATCTTTCGTTGCGGAAAATCGATGAGGATTCGTAAATACATCATCCCACTTGTCTTGAATGATCATCTTTTGAAACTGTTTAGCCATTTTACACTGGTTATCGTAGTGTGTTATTTCGGATTTTAATTGGCGAATTTTTTCAAGAAGTTTATCTAATAATGGCTTGAGCATTTTGGAAGTCGTTTCAATTCTCTTGAACCTATCTCAATCCGCAGCAAAAAATTCCCAGGATCTACGCCGAGCTGCAGTAGATGTAAAAAACTCGATGCCTGAAGGCAACGAAAAGGCTATCGCGTCGAGGATAATGTCTGAAGACAACGATTGCGCAGGCGCCTCTGATGGCGTAACAGCTCAATGCCTGAAAACTTAACGTTAAAATGATGGGAGACGATAACGCCGACAGCTAATAAAACTACTACTGGAGATTATTGGCAAGTTACTGAATTATTCCCATATCATGTAGCTTGTTGATAATGTCACTACAGACACGATGTTCTTTAGTCAAACCACACTCTTCGATATAATAACGTAAATCATTTACAAGTTCATTTGGGTCAACTCCGCTCTCTCTTTCTAGCATATCTTCGCTACTCTCACAATCTGTTTGTTCATCATCATTATCCATGTTTGACAATTGGTCATTATTATCATTGAAAGGTCTGTATATATATTTTCTATTACTGTTCATGTTGTGTGCGGTTAGCTTCCTGTTATCAGTACTCTGCTGATGTTTGTTTTTCATGTGCGAGATTAAGTTATCCCGTCTTGTAAATTTCTTTCCACATGTGTCGCAGGGGAAAGTGGTGGATTTATGCTTGTTAGAGTGGCGACTAAGCCCGCTTTTATATGCAAAACCCTTGGAGCAGATGTTACACGCATACATGTTTACTCTTTGAATAGCAGACGAAAAGTGACTATGC